TGGGGCTTTTCTCTCGCCTCGCACAATTTCTTTTCGCAGGCATTTTTCCTACACCAATGCGTATACATCCGATTTACGCATATTATGAACATGCAACCCCGATTGTATGTTGGGTCTGCTATGCACCATGCAAATTGCCCTGACCACCTTGCCTTGGGAGATGTCGCTACCCTCCTTACGATTCTTCAAACAGCTCCAATCAACCAGCATCACCAGGCTCGATTCATAGGGGAATGGTATATGCTTTTGGACTTCCTCCGCCCACATATGAGTGTGGGGGACAATGTGAAGTTTTCTCGGTCTATCCAGGAAAATCCAACAGTCAGTCCTGGTGATCTTGTGAAAGGCTGCAGGTTCAGACGTCTCAATGTCACTAGAAAAATTGTGATCAAGGATGTGCCGTCCCTTCTCACAGTGGCTCTTGATATATGCAAACTGTTGCGCTGGGACAACGCTGCGTACGCCAAAGACGTGGCAGTTCCATGGGAAGCCCTTTATCTCCAGCCCTGTGTCTCATGGTTGTGTCCATTAGTGACAGTGAACAGATTTGGCCCATCAATTTCAAAGAGACTCTGACCAATCACAACCTGTTCATTCGCCATATCCGGTATGTCGACAGCCGGTTGATCTTTGGAGACACTCGCCTTCAACAGCTTCATCCCTATGAAGTCTTGCTGGATGAAGGGTTTTATGGTCGTCCCATTGTTCTCGAAACGGAACCGGACCAAGAATTCCTGGGCTTCATGTTGGAAACGAAGCCACTTGAACTCATCCATTGCGGCCCAACTAATATATCACAAGTCCTGTCACCCTTCTCGGCACCTCCGCCGAAAGTACTCCTTAGTGGTTTGCGATCTCGCTGTCACATCGTCGTAAAGGGCGCCTTTCCTGCACATCGTGTTCAACAAGGACTTGATCAACTGACCCTCTTGTATACTTTGGCAGGCTTCTCTGAAGAAGAACTCAGCAGTATTTCTTCTCAAATTGTTGCCCATCATCAGCTGGCAAACGAGAAAGAAAACTCCCTGCTCAGGTCGAGGACAGTTCATGTCATAACAACACTCGATGTTGACTGCCCCATGTCTTAACTCGAATACTCTTCTGATTGTGTTGTTTGGAATTCTAGCGTTTTTGTTGTAATGCTTTCTTTCCTGATTGCTATTTATTGCGTGACCTTTGCTTAGTTACTAGTTCCTGGTTCAAACTCCGCTCCCATACTGCTCCGTTGACATTCGTTTCTCTACGATGGGCAACTCTTGGCCATCCAACTCCAGGGAGATCCGCTATCACTTGGCAAGGGCTATCATGCACTTGAATTATATCGCTGGCTTCCGGCTTCCTCCCATTTTTTGAACCAGCTGTTGACTGGGATGACTCGGACGTCCAGCGAAGGTTTCCACCCACAACCATCCCACTCACTCACAACACACACCCTGGCCGCAACCTTCATACGTTTGTTCCATTACCATCGGCACCATCACAACCCACCATGTTCACGCATGGGGGTCTTCCAACTCACATGATTCTGAACCCTGAACCCAACCTTCGCCCGATTCCAGCTCGACCATCGGAACCCAGTGCTCCTGCCAATCTGGTTCGGTCCAGATCTCCATCCGAGGAGGATGACGAATCCTGTACAATTCCAATTCGCTCCTCAACTTCGGGGGCTCCCACGAACCCTTCACCAACACCTGTGGAACCTCCATCCAATTTGGAAGCGCGGCCCTTTAAAAAGAAACAACGGGTCCATGTTGAGATCTCACAGACACGTCATGAAGTCATCACGGCTCCCAGCATTGTGACTCCAGATGGTCGACCTATCGACCACCCAACTTCAGCTGATGAAGATGACTCCGCTTCAGATCCTGTCCCCTTAAGTCTAAGGGACTCTGTGCCATCTGCAGTTTCGGTCACTCGTACGGAACCACCACCGGATTCTTCTCGAGAACCAGACCATGAACCGGCTATTCCAATGGCCACAATCAATTCTGGACTACGACCTTGGACTGACATTGCCGACAATGAGCTGATTAGCTACAAGATGGATTCTCAATCCCGCCCATCATGGAAGACCATATCCATAGGGTTGCGCCTGAAACACATCCCGGAATCCTGCAAAGCACCGTGGCTATGGTTGAAGAACACCCGTCCTGACCTGAACACCCGCACCGAAAATGACGCGGAGGACTAATAAACCTAGAGCTGCCAGAACAACAACAGGCAAAAAGAAAAAGACCGCTTGTTTCTTTCTGAACTAATTCCAACTTGTCCACTGTTACCTTTGCCTCAGTGCGTCTGTCGATTCCTTCATTGTTGCACTCATTGCATTCCTTTTTATATTAATTGTAGCTTCCTGGCTCACTAGTCAGAAATTTCCCTTGTTTTCTTTGGCCATGGATCGATCGCGTTCCCGGACACGAAGTGCCGGACCTCCATATGCACCAGTTAGCGCTCCAACTCCTCTGTCTGGAGTCAGTCGTCATCTTGTGTGGAATGCGACCTCTATACAAGATGAAGGGCCTTTGCTTCCTCCCACATCCTTTGCTAAGGCCAGTCAGCCATATCATGCGGCTGTCGTGTCACAAGGCTCTTACACCTGGATACTTGCCTTAGACAGCTCATCTGGGACAAAAAAGACAACAGTCTTGCATGCTGCCTCGTTGATTTTTTCTTTTTTCGCTTCTTTTCGGGTTTCCTTCTTTTCCTTCTTTTGTCACGTTTCCATTTTACAACTCTTTGTGGCTAATTTTGCGGTCTATCTCTTTGCCATTAGCTCTCAATATGACCAAGCGTGATTCTTTCACTGCCAATTTGGCTTCCTCGTGACCTCCTTATGGATTCCCTGATGACGCCGGCAGTGAGCAGCAACCCAGCAACCTCGGGCTGCCCTGCTGCTCCTTTGATGAACCGAGTTTCTGAAGCAAATCCAACAGATCCGGGCACATCGAAGTTCCAAGCTATTGCTACTCTGCCCCAGCAGTACCAATTCCAATGCGTGGTGGGGCAAATCCTCCACTTCCCAGGTTTCAAGACTACTCTCAACTGCATTTGGCCCAGTGGCAGCAAAGAATCGTCCATACCCAGACCTTCAAGCTCTTTGAGTATGGAGAAGGCTATACTCGCTAGGTAGAGCTCATGAGACACTCTCGTCTCAGAACTTTGGAACAGTTCTTGCATGGGATCGTGGGTCATGTGAAGGACAAGCGAGGCATGTCTATCCATGGATGGCGTCAGGCCTTGAGGATTGCCAATTATTGAAGAGCAAGAGCCTCATCCGCATCAGAATGAGCAGCATCAGAATGAGACCACTCCTCCTACGGATCATGAAAATACTGATACGGATGCTACATCAACCATGGCAATGCCATCGCAACCCCACATCCAAGTGAGTCAATTGGCGTGGTTCTTGCATGACATCATGGCTCAGGATCTGTCTTTCAACGCACCCATCCTGCAAGCTCTCCAAAGTGCCAACTCAAGCTCCGCGTCGGCTGGCGCCCTCCTCAGCCAGCTGTGTTGACTCTTCAGGGTTTGGCCCAATTGTCAGCGCACCTGGCGATCGCTTCCAACCTCATGGCTCAGAGCAACGCGACTGCTACCGAGATTCTGGATGATGATAACAGCATGTAATGCCTTGAGCTTCTTTTGAAAGAATTTTCTTTCCGTCGTTTCACTGGCATTTGATCAGGTCGATCTGTGTCCAGCAGTGAATTTTCCAAAAAAGCCCCCCCGCAGCCGCGGGGCGTGTGTGTGAACCATCTGAAGAGATGTAAAACTTCTAACTTGTGGTTTGCGGTTTTGCTATTACAACTGTTCCTTTGGTAACCTCAAACTAGCAGGGGGCCACGGCTCCCTTCATCAGTCCGTGGCCAACGAAGCTACTGATATTTGGAGAGGATATGCAGTCTGATCAACTGCACGTACCTGCGACTCATTTGATTTCCTTCCGTATGGCAAGCGGCCAAGCCCAGAACCGCAAGACGGACAATTTAGAGTGCTGCACTGTTGTCGCAATCGGTTCAAGTATATTTTCATGTTGGAAACCACACTGGCTATGGCGATGGTAGCTTCGTGATACTCTGTCAGGTCCCTTCACTGACCCGTTCCTGTCAGGTGTAATGAAGTGTTTTGCACGTAAGATGCATTTCACAACAGAATTCGCAATGACAGTTCTGAGCAAGTGTGTGCGTGTGTGTCTGTCTTGCTGTCTGTCTGTCTGCCTGTTTGTCTGTTCAGCTTTCAGATTTGGAGGGAATCTCGTGGGAAAGCTTCGTTTTCACATCTTCAACTGTCAGATTTTGAGGGATGTCTAGCATTCACATCTTCAACTTTCAAAACTTTCAATTTTGGAGGGAAGTCTGGCACGAGAGCTTCGTTTTCGCATCTTGAATTTCCATTTTGAAGGAGGTCTCACACGAAAGCTTCGTTTTCACATCTTCAACTTTGGAATTTTGAGGGGTGTCTCCTACGATAGATTCGTTTTCACCACTTCAACTTTCAGTTTTTGAGGGACGTCTCGTGCGAAATGCCTTTTTTGCAGGCGACATGCTGGGTTCTTGCTGTTCGTTAGTGTTCATATGCGTTTATCAAGAACTGATATGAAAAGAAGCGTAGAAACGTGAAACCTTGCTATTGTGGTTGTATGCTGGGGTAATTTGTTTTTGCCCTTGCGCTTGTTGTTGCTGTGGTTGTCGTTGTCACGGTCGTTGTCGCTGCCACTGTCACCGCGTAGTCGTTGTTCTGGTTGTGTGTGTATGTTGCGGCTTCCACACGCACATGCATGTATGTGACACAAAACTTCAACGTTGTAAGCTGCAAATATAGAGATGCAAATACATAAGCAATTCCACGGATATGTATGTATATAAAATATGTATATATATATATTTATTAGAGACACATATCTGCCCACGTATGGGTACAATCCACTGATTCATGTTGAAGCCAATGTAGCGGTCCAGATAACTACGTTTACAAACATTGTTCTCAATACTTGCAAGGCAGTGGCGGCCGCCCCCCTGACGGTGCCGATGTCAGTCCCTCCTGGTGCTGCTGTTGTGGAGTTCAAGGCTTGCAACATGGAATGCGCATGAAAGGCAATGTACGTTTTTGAATTAAATAAATCAAAATCAAAATATTTCAAAATTAAGGACATGATTGCTTTCAGAATGACATTCAAATGATGCAGAGACCCACGTGCCACGAATCAGTGAGGCTGACATGGTTTGTCAGAGTAGTGCTGGTACATGTTCTGTCAAAGAATCACCAGACCAAGGTGATCATTTCAAATGCGAAACCCGCGACACCCTCAAACCAGAACAAACACGTTGAACATGACCACCGTAAGACCATATCCAAGCAATTTGTAAACATACCCCATACGTACTTGTATTTGCAAGTTGAAAAGACTTATGCCAATAATTTCCATTTTGTCCATTGTTTTCAAAGAAAAACGTCCATTTTGAAATCTTGTTGGTCACCCTTCACCAGGTGGATCAAGGTGTCGTCGGTCGAACCCCAAGAACTGAACTTCACTGATTTCACCTCAAACCATTGGGACAACATCGGACAACATTGGACAACACAACAAGACAGCACTGACAGTAAGCCGCAGGTGATGCCTGGAAATCTCAAGACTAGGTGGATCAGGTAGTTTCCTTGTTCTCCTTGGTGGTGCAAAGGGCTAAGACTAACTTTTGGGGTCCAGGCTGCCCTGCCTATTGCGGTCAATTCCCCCTTTCCACTTTTGCCTTGCTTCTCCTCACCGGCTGGCTGAGTGGCTTTCTATCTGCACTTTGGGTGCTTGATCTCCTTGCTCCACACTCGGATCCACTTTGTCAACTCTATCCCCCATGGTAACCAGCACTCGACGTGCTGGTTACCTGAATGAGCGGGACCTCATCCGACAACGACGTCGCGATCATTGCTCCTTACTATTATTGTTTCAGTTCGTGCCTCTGAAGCAGCTCAGTTTGTGGCTGAGATCACAGGAGCTCCAGCCGGCTCCAGCAGGCAGAGGTTCTGATTCCAGCACTCCGTGGTCTTTTTCTTTGGTGGAGGAGAGCAGAAGAGATCAGAAGTTATTACAGTGCCAGGTGTTTTGGAGGAGGAAGGCAGAGAGGTTCCAATTTGTGCAGATTTGCAGGTGGCATTAGTCGATATGGATGCGAGCGTGGCGCAGCAGCTGCGTCTTGCAGGTGAGGGGGGGGAGAGCTTGGCTGCTACCTTTTCTGTGTTTGCAGCCCCAGATGGTCCCACACTTGTAGCAATGGCTTTGAGTTGGACAAGATCAAGAATGTTGTCAGATCAAGAAGCGGCAGAGGTTTGGTACAGTGGGGATGCGGCCACCACAGCGGAGCAGCGGCCTCCAAAGCCGCGGCGTCGCTACCGATACCGCACCAGCATCCGCAAAGCAGAAGAGGCCAACAGTCCCTGGATATGGTTTTAGCCACGCTGCCACAGTCGACGTCTTCAGTGCAGCAGATCGCAGACCGGCAGACCGCTTTGGAGACTCAGCTGGTCCAGACATCGAGCGTCTCCAGGGCCCTTTCTCAGCCATTGTCTTCACAGGTTCCAAAGGCCTCTGCCTCAGTTCCAGCAGTGGCGAAGATGATGCGGTCACCTGTTGGAGGATGTGCGGGTAGTGTCGCCAGAGAAGTCAGATCTGGCGAGGGCGATGTTGGCGCAGTTATAGCCGTGCTGACCACCTTGAAGCCCAGTTGGCGCGTTCAACTCAGGAGCCGCTTTCGGACTTGCAAATTGCAGGCAGTGCAGGGACCAGAGGCTCAGCAGGCAGAGCTCAGCAGTCAGAGCTTGGCTCAACAAGGAGGGCTGTCTTTCGATGCAGTGCTGAAGTCGATGTCCAGACGGATGTCGCCTACCTCGTCTGCAGAGAAGCCTGCAGCCGAGCTCCTCTCCAAAAGGATTTGTGGAATCTACTTGGAAAGGTTTGGCGGCTATGGCCAGAGGGATTTAGGAGTGATCCGGTACCAAGTGATGACAGCATTGGATTTTTTGATGGCGGAGAAAGTGGGGGCAGCAAAGGATACAGTGGCGTTGCTGGCGGTGATGTTGGAGCAGGCTTGTCTCGACTCGGGTCGCTTCGAAGTGGCTCAGATTTTGACACTGCAGGAGGACATTCCTGCGTTAGTATTCACCAACAGGCAGCTGGCATCAACTTCGAGAGCTCGAGCTTTCGCGCCTTTGTCAGATCAGTATTGGGTGACTGCCGCCATAGCGTTCTTGATGGAGCTCGACGCCATCTCTACAAAGTGCACCGAGCTTTTGGGAAGTCATAGGGATGCCGCAGCAGGAAGTCCACCAGCACAGCCCAGCCCAAAGAGCCCGTCGAAGAAGAGGTCAGGGAAATCAACAAGCAGAGGAGGAGGAGGAGCAGTAGATCATGATGGTGATTGCTTTGCAGAGCGGTTCCTCAGAGAGACCACTGACTTCAAAACTTGGGCCATCTGTCTGGCTCGCTGGGTGTTGCAAACTCGTCCTGACTTTGAGGCGAACTTTTTCTGTCGCATGGCGAGGCCAGCAGGCTTCTGCCGCTGTGTTTCCACTTCCAGTTCCATTTCCTGGGATTTTTTGCTCGAGGTGGCCCTGGGCTTAGTGAGTGGCGGCTTGTCAAGCTCGCAAAGATGCGTGTGGTTCATGTTTTGGTGATCGATTTGGACTACATGTACCTTGGTCGCTTTCCTAGCACTGAAGCTCTGCAGACCGAGAGGAGATGCTATCAGAGCATCTACTCCTTTGTCACAGCGTGTGGATCTAGGCTAGAGCAATTCCCTGTTAAGCTTGGACAAGTTGGAGAGGTTTGTTTGTCGACCGTACGGATCTTTCCAATTTTGGCTATGGAGGAGGTGAGAGAGCTTTTGACAGAGGCAGTGCAGCTTGTGAGCATCGGCAAAAAAAGGTTTTCCTGAGCTGCGGCCCTATCGCTCTCTAGATGTGGATCGTTTGAAGAGTTCAGGTTGTGGAGCTTGGCCCTTGGCTGACTATCTTGGCAGCAATCTTTGGTTTGGCTATGTTGAGCCAAAGTCCCTTATGCATGGCCTCGATGTATCAGATTTGCCAGGGCCAGACTTCAGTGGTGAAGACAGGAATGAGTATCTCAAGTTGGCAAAGAAGTGGGATGAGCTTGGACTTTTGCAGCCGCACGTCTCCCCCATTGAGGAGGCTCATTTTTGCAAGGTTTTCAACATTTTCAAGAATGAGTAGAGCGACCGTCAGATTCAGGATCGGCGGATTCCTAATGCTAGAGAAGTTGCAGCTGCGGGCCATCAAAGAATTTGCCAGTTGGGCCTCTTTTCTTTGGCTTTTTGCTGAGGGGAGGCCAGGCCCTTCTGGGAAGCTTCACAGACAGGCGTGACTTTTACCACCAAGCAGCAGTCACCTCAGAGAGGAGCAAAAGCAACATGATTCCTTTTTCTATTTCCCGTTCTGAGCTGCGCGGGCTGTCTGCCCTTGAGAGGTTCGAGGTCGAAGAGGCTTGTAGAAGGAAGAGGCCAAGAGAGGAGCGAGGCCATCACCTTGAGTGTGATGGAAAATTTTCTCGTGAGGCTGCAGATTCCTTTTTTCCCTGGTTTACAGCGCCCTTTCAGGGTGACCATCTTGGGGTCGAATATGGTTTGGAGGGGCACCAGAACTTGCTGAGGAGTTGAGGAGCAACGCCTTCAGGGGCAAATGCATCTCCCACATTCACAACTGTGGGAAAATTTGATACTAGATGATTATTTCGTTGTCCGTGCTGCACTTCCTCATCAGCCAAAAGAAAAACATCGGTTTTCCATCACCTTGTATGGGCCAGACAGGCCTACCAAGCAGTCTCTTTACCAGGATCTGTTGTGAGAAGGATGTGATTGCTGAGCCTCTTTTCAAAGCTGCTGGCGCTGAGGTAGATTCGAGACCTTGCGTAGTTTCAGCAGGGATTTGCTTGGTTGGAGCTCCTCTGTTTAAGAGGCTTGGGGTGTTACTGTTGACTTTGAGAGCAGCCCGACTTCCAGCCATTTCAGAAAAGCTTGCGAGCCGCATCTCAGGGTCTTGGGTCTCGGTGCTGTTGTATCGGAGGTGCACCTCTTCAGTTGTCAAAAAGTTTTTCTCTTTAGCAGCAGTTTCAGACGAGGAGGGTGTTGTTGTTCCGTTGAATCAACAGGTTGCGGAGGAGATCACAGTCCTGGCATGTTTGGTGCCTCTGGCAGCAGTGGATATATCAGCTCCAGTTCAGAAGAAGGTCTATGCCACCGATGCTTCTTTGAAGAAGGGTGCAGTGACAGCTAGAAGGGTCTCTCAACACACCGCTGAGATTTGGTGGCTTGATGGTGACAAGAAGGGAGGATACACCCAGTGAGAGAATGGCTTTCGGGCAGCCCTGAGGGCAATAGGCTCGCATTTTGCGCCTCCCAAGCTTTCGCAGTTGCGCTATGACTTCATAGAAGTTTGTGGAGGAGCAGGAAAGGTTTCGGCAGCTGTGGACAAGATTGGTTTTGTGGCTGGGCCCAACCTTGACCTGTCCCTCTCCGACAGGCATGATTTGTCCGATATCAGAGCTCTTGAATGGCTCATCCGCATACTCACTGAGAGGTTCATGGTTGAGCCCCCTTGTACAACTTTCTCACCGGCAGCCCGCCCTGCTTGCCGATCCTGCAGAGCCACTGGGATTCGACCGCCAGAACCCCAATGTCCTTCGCGGCAATGTTCTGGCTTTCAGAAGTCTGGTGCTCATTTACGTTTGCCATCGGGTTGGAGAGCAGGTGCGGCGCTTGAGCAGAGTCGGCTATCGAAGATGGCCTGGTTCAGCCTGGCAGTGACTGCTGAATGTTGGGTGTTCGGAAGCAGTCGTCGCCTCCTGCCAATTTGGGTCCCCCCATAGGAAGGAGTTCAGGTTGCTTTTGACTGGTTTGGGTTCTGAGAAGCTGCCGGTAAAGTGTCCCGGGGGTCACCCGCATGTCCGCATAGAGGGTGGTTTGCCGAAGCATTCAGCAGTTTACACCGGTGGGTTGCACGGCACATTGCTTTTGCAGGGGCTCTTTGGGCAGAGGAGAGCAATGCAGGTGCTGAGGGGAGGAGGTATCAGAAGATTGAGAGCCCTCTTATCAATGATGTTTTGAGGACAAGTTTTGGAGCGTCACTAGTAGCTGGTTTTGTCGTGGTTTCTCTCCTAAAACAGATGCTGAGTGAGGCTCCGGGATCAAGGTTCAGCGCGCTCCTTTGCCCCGACAAAGTTGAACGTTGCTGATGGCCCCACAAGAGAGGCTGAGCTTCGAGAGTCTTCACCCTTGAGTGTTTTGGATTTTCTCTCTCCATCTGATCTCCGACAGCTTCACTGGGAGAAGACCGCTCGTCCATCTGCAAATTGGATCCGCCTTGTCATTCTAGCTTGCGCCACGCAGCCAGTCGATGCCAGTGGCTGGGGGACCTGTGGATTTGGATTTGGGTCTCTCAGCCATCAAAATTTCCTTGGATTTGGATTTGGGAGGCACCTCCCTTTATGGACTTTTCTCCATTGCATTTCTCTCTTGCGGGACCTTTGGAATTGAGATTTCTTTTCATGGCACAGCTTTGCCTTGCTTGCTCCTGCTAATAAGCCCCCATGGCCCCTGAACCGGATAAGCAATAATTTGGCTTCTGATCGGGTGCTCAGAAAACAGAAAAGAGAGAACCGTGTGATCAGTTTGGAGCTTGGCTTGGACGGGAGCATGGCTTAGATTGGCGAAGAGTCTTGGAAAGAAAGCCCATAGATCCTGAGGAGATTTGTCGCTGGCTTGTTGTGCATGGTAAGGAACTGCATGCTTCAGCGAAATCGTACGCAAGGTATAGTGAGACTGTGAATGCCATTGCAGCGCTCCGTCCAGTGATTAAACGCTAATTGACAGGTGCGTGGGATCTGGCCTTTGCTTGGTTAGTCGACGAGCCGCACGAGCATCACGCTGCTTTGCCCATCAGCATTTTGTTGAGCATGATGTGTTTAGCACTGCTTTGGGGCTGGCCTCTTGAGGCAGCCATTTTTGGTATGTCATGGGCTGGTCTGTTGAGAATTGGAGAAGTCATATAGGGGCAGCGCGTGCAGACCTGATTCTCCCAGACGATTTTGCACCAGGGATTGACTACATCCTTCTTCGCATAGCAGAGCCGAAAACGAGGGGCATAGGCACCAAACAGCCACAATAGAGCCTAGAGATTGGGTGCAACTTATTGGGGCAGTCTTCCGAGGGCATAGCCCTAGTCAGAAACTTTGGCCTTTGTCTGCACAGACGCTTCGACGGAGGTTTCATCAGTTGCAGTCTGGTTTTGGGGCTTGATGCAAAAGCAAAGTATGGGTTTCGTCCATATGATTTGAGCAGTTTACGTCCCGGAGGGGCTACTCAGCTACTCACCTTTTGAATGTCACTGAAGATTGCACATTGGTGCAACGGAGGGGTAGGTGGTTGTCCTACAAAGTCATGGCCACATACCTTCAAGGTCAGGACCCAAATTCCAGATTTGAAGTCGATTTTTCCTGAAGTGCTTCAAACCACACTTCCATTCCTTGAGTGGAAGATACCTAATACAGCTTGGTTTCTTCTTTTTCGAGGAGGAGCAAGTGCCAGCTAGACGGTCGAGAGTGGGGGGAGGAATGCATGTAGCATCAGTCAAAACGATTGATGCAAACAAACAACTTACTGCCTTGACAGAAAAGAGCATTGGCTGGCTGCTTGATTACGTGTTTACATCTGTGCACATTTTGGTAATCTTTTACAACAGATGTTTCGATTCAAATCACGAAACAAACCCGTGTTCGTCATCATGATGAATCATGACCGATCTGTATCTATATAGATTGACCTCTCTAAAAAAAAACCAGGTCTCGTTTCCCCATAGGCTGCTATGATATCTCTGCCTTTCATGCCTTTCTTTTGCTTCTTGAACTTCCTCTTGTCCGCAACTTTTCGCTTGTAGACCAAGGCAACTTTGCTCCAGTCTCCACCGCAAGACAACCATTCATTGAACAAACAAACCTTGTCTTTCAGGAAGTGCGTCGCCAACTCCACCAGGATTTTTTTTTGTCCGGGCATTGCCTGGAGAATCCTGGAGAACTTGTCCCAGTCGGCCTTGTTGGTCGTAGAATTTGCAAGACCCTTCTTCCCAGTGGTCTCAGCCTCTTGGGACACTGCAACCAATGCTTGCATCTCTGCCTCCTTTCCTGTGCCTCTGGTGGCTTCATCTTCGCTTTCACTCTCACTGGACGAATCGCTGTCCGAAGAATCATTGCTTTCCTCACTCTCATCCTCAGACTTATCCTCAGGGCATGGCCCAAAAATCTGAAGAGCCTTCACCTTTTCCTCATGCTCTGCCTCCTTGTCATCATCTTCGTCGCTTTCAAGTCGCGACATTTCGTCTTCCGACTGCTCTGCATCCTCCTCTGACTCCTCAGATTCTTCAGCTTTATCATCCTCATCACCTTGCGCTTTCACCAGGTTCTGCATGTGCTCCTCCAATGCCTTTGCAGACATGGCTTTCATGTGATCAGCCAGTGAAATTCCTTTGGCCTTTGCTTTCTCAGCCTCCTTCTCCACGTCGCTCAAGGTGTCCAAGGAATGGGGTGTCTCAGAGCTGCCTGCTTCAGAGCTTTGCAAAGCTTTGTTGTTCCTGATAGGTGTTGCAAATCCGGTTGGAGAGAACATCCATACATATTGTATCATATTGTAATATATATTGTAATACACGCACTAGCTAGCAGTCACTAGCTCTGGGTTGAATGTTTTTTGCATGGATTCAATGGATTGAATCTCGTTGCTGTTCAGACCTGTTCAAACCTTGCGCGGTGCATCGCGCCGCTAAGGCTTTCTGATCGGCAAGGGAGGCGAGACCTTGCGCTCCATGGAGGTCAGCAGCACTGCCACCATCAAGATCGATCAGAGCTCCAAGGACTTCGAAACATTTCCATTCCGAGTGACTTCAACATCTCCAACTGACAGGAGAAATCAGGTGAAATCGAATTTCGAGATTCCAACTGTGTGAAACTCGAAGTGAAACTCGAAACTCCAAGTTTGAAACCAAGTGCAATGTGAATCTGTCCGAGTTGCTGACAGGAGATGGGTTACAGCATGGTGCGTATCACTGGCTCGGAGCAGGCACGGGTAGAGTCGAAATGCAGGGACCGCAGGGACTGCAGGGACCGCAAGGACTGCAGGTGCAAACTTGAAAAATATTGATATATCAGAAATATGTCGACGGCATACGACGACAAATTGAGGATATGTGGATGATGTATCATGATATGAGTCGATATGATTCGATACACATGGTGGTCGCATGGCGACCACATGGATCACTTTGGAGTTTCAGTAGTGGAATTTCAAATGGATGTGCCGGCTGTGACCAGTCTGTGCCCAGTCTGGAGTTTTTCGAGTTCGAGTTGAGGCGGTGGCCGTGGCCAAAGCCTTGTTAGATGGCCGCGTCAACGAGAAACGCGCCAATGCCTCCGGTCAGAGACGAGGCCCTGGGCATCTGCCCGATGGAGGCGTGGAGGGCGAGGATATCTAGTGTCAGAATGTGTCAGATACACAAAGATATTCTATAAACAAATATAAACAAATATAAACAAATATATATATATATAAACAACATGAATAGAACTAAGAAAACGTAGACAGAATGTAAACATATCAGCAGATTTTGAAACATCCAGAGGGAACTTTAGCTTCTGAAAGGGGTCAGAAGGTCTGGCTAGCAAACGGCTGTGTGAGAGCTTTCAAGCGTTCGATCGCATTTCTCAGGCTTTCTTGAATTTCTTATGCTTTCTTGCTGTGGTCTCTTTTTGGCGTTTTGTGGGTTCTGTTTCTGACTCATGGTGCCACGGAGTGCCGCGAATGAAAAATGCACTGGAGGAGCACTGGGAGCACCAGCATATGGAGGGGTTTGCGCCTCAGTTTGCATGTGCAAAGCATGTGCAAAGCATGTGCAAAGCATGCGACGCAATGTGCAAAACTGTGCAAAAACAGTATGACAATGTGAAAACCGTATGCTACGGCAAAACGGTTCATGAATTGTATGTGTTCAGTATGTGTTCAATATGCAACAGCAATTTCCATCAGTATGGGCCCTGTACGACAGAGATGGGAACCTCTCCAATAGCACGGGCTGTAAAGCCTGTCGCGCCGGTGGAGCCTGTGCAAAAGCTACAAGGTAAGGTATACGTAAGGTCGGTAAGGTAAGGTAGGGCAGCTGGGGAAGACACACCTGAGGTACAGAAGGGCACAAGAAGGGAGCAAGAAGGGAACAAGATGGAAGAAATATGAAGAAATGCTTCAAAAAACATCATTTGAGATGTTATAACATGACCAACCAAATAATTAAATGGGATATTTCGATACAAATGCGATGCAAATGTGAAGGTCACCTTGGTCACATCAGTCACTTCACTCACGTTTTTGTTTCGTTGAGGCCTCCGATTCTGGCGCAGTAGGCAGGGCTGGCAGGGCGAAAACTTTTCACCTTCGAAAGTGGTTCGAATGTGAAAACAAACGTGGATCAATAGATGCACACCATGCTCACCATGCATCCTTTCTCAGGCTGGGAAACGCAAATCGAGCAGCCTGAATCCCAGAAATCCCTTCGGTCCCTTCGGCACAGAGTAGTGGCCAGGCCAGGCCTGAGCCACCCACTTCACCCAGAGCGGAAATGCACAAAAAGGTGCAACCATGTGCAACCTTTTTTTGTGATACCAGAGTTGACCCCAAACAGTTGAACAGTTTGAAAAGGCATTTCAAGATATTTCAAGTAAAGCCTCTTGCAGATTCTTGAACTTGCACATATTAAAACACATATTGTCATATTGTCAGGAACATGTGGCAGCCTTTTCTTCCAAGGCTATAAAGTGTGCTGAAGTTAGTGGACTTCGTTTGAAGGATGCCTTGGTTACCTAGGTTATTGTTGGTGTTAGTGCTCCAACTGTTTCTTGTTGAAAGCATGCCGCACCTTGACGCAGTTTGCCTATTTGCCTTCGACGCAATGCTGCATTGTTGACCGACCGTTGACTCTCCAAGGAATTGGCGTTTTCTGTTCAATCGATTTTTTTTTTAAAGTTTACCTTTATCTAACATCTTTTTTTGAAAATCTTTTAAAAAGGTCTCGGCCCAAATCCTACCAGATAGTGGACCCGGCTGAAGTTTTGGAGCTCGTTCAACTCGTGCCATGGAAATCACTGTATTTCGTTTCGTTTCCTTCTGGTGCCTTTTCTTCTTTGGATGCTAAGACTGTAGAGTTTCCTGTCTTGATCATAGACCTGCCATTGAAGGTTGGGTCTTTCCATTGCTTACTCGTTCAGGCAGTGTGGTTGACGCAGTTCTGCCCGATCCAGTTTCAGCACCGTGGAAGCACTTGTCTTCCCATCTACTTGAGGAGCTCCTTGCTGACGCTGGCAGGGGCGGGTTGTGGACCTCTACTCTTGAGTGGCTGCGGCCTCTTCCTGAGCAGTCAGCATGGGAAAGCCTTGGCACTTCACGTGGTTGATGAGTTTGGCTACATGACTCTGGCTGGATATTGGGGCGTCGCTTCCCACAGCGGCAATTGAAAGACAAACGCATGGAGGTTGCAAGCGCAAGCCTGCCACAGTCTGGAATGAGTACGTTGTTCATCACGAATCACCCCGCAAGTCCTGTTCAACCCACCTTTGGCACGGATCGGTCGGCTGCAGGATATGAAGGACGTGGAGTGGATTGTGAGGTTTCATCATGTGCTTGAGCAATCGTATTCTGCACTTCTCAGACCTGGAACCCTTTGGCACCATCCGTGCCATGCTGCCCCGCACACACACAAGCGTCTGCGCTAAAACCTTTGAAAATCTTGATCTTTCTTTTTTCGTTTTGTTTGCCACTTTGTTTCCCCTCCGGTTCTAGGCTCCTCTCTGCCGTTGAACTGAGTTTTCCATTCGAAGCGTTCGAATTCGAAATTCGAAGCCTGGAAAAATTCTTAAAAAAAGGTTTCGACGATTTTTTTCGTTTTCTGGAAACTTTTCTGTTTTCTGTTTCTAAGTTCACAGGTTCCAAGGACTCGCAGAGTGTTTCAAGTATTCAGTTCCAATGTCACCATGTTTCTGGCTCACAAGGACTCACAAGGTCTCACAAGGTCTTCCAGCTGTGATTTTCCTCGGGGTGTTTTGCTGGAAGACTGCGGTTTGGAAGTCTTATATTTGTTCAAATTTGTTCTGTTTTGAAAAAACTGTTAAGCACTGCTCTAGTTCAATCACTGCGTGTTGAAGCAGCAGTGACCTTTTCAAAAAGATGGCCACGCTTTGGAAGAGCAATGCGACAATATTGTACCCCACATCTTTGTGTGGGGTTCTTGTTTTTGGTTCTGTATCCCGTCCCGGCCTCCTCCGCCGCCTCTGCGCCTCCTTCGCACACATCTTTCACACACAACAATCTTTGCCACTAATCTTTCACACGCAACTTTGTCACACACAATCTTTGTCACACACACAATCTTACACATAACTTTGTCACACACACACACAATCTTTCACGCACAACTTTGTCATAACTTTGTCACACTTAACTTTGTCACACAATTTTTTACACACAACTTTGTCACACACACACAGCCTTTCACACAAAACTTTGTCACACATAATCATCTTTCACACAAAGCTTTGTCACACATAACTTGTGGCACTTTGCCTGGCGGGGGCGGCGCTCGGTGACATCCACGCTCCCTAGCACTTGTGGCACTGTGCTGGGTCTGGTTGCGCGCTTGGTTTGCGTTGATGGTCGCCCGTGGCGCCGCGGCACTTTGCATGGCAGGCACGGCGCTCGGTCGGTGACATCGACCGTAGTTTTGCGTGGCAGGCGTGAAACTTTGGGGGCATCCATGCACTTTTGCGTGGCAGGCGTGGTGCTATATTAGGGCACTTGGCTGCGTCTGGTGGCGCACTTGGCCGGCGTTGGTCGCCCGTGCCGCCGCGGCACTTTGGGTGGCAGGTGTGGCACTTGGCGACATCCACGTTCCTTTTGCGTGGCAGGCGTGGCGCTTGGTGACATCCACGCTGCTGTGGCCAACGCTTGGCTCGTAACCAAGTATGACAGCAAGGACGATGGGCGATGTGCTGATGCGCCTTGCTGGGCACACACATGGAGGCATTGCCGCGTCGCTTGGGAGGTCTGCGACAGTTTTCCACGTGATGACCTTGTCAAAGAATACAGTCCGATTCCGCAACTTCTCCGGATTGCGTAAACTAGGATTGTGCAACTAGGATTGCGAAACTTGGCTTGCGCAAATTCCAGGATTGCGCAACCCCGCTTGCGCAACTTCCAGGATTGCGCAACTCTGCTTGTGGCTTGCGCAATCTGCCTGCGGTTGCGCAACCCGTAGGATTGCGCAACTCTGCTTATGCAACTACGCCACGCTGGCCGGTTTGCGCAACCCTGCAACTACACTTCCTCCAAGCAATTCCAGCCCCCATAGAACTTGAAAATGACACACACGTGCCATCCACAAGAGCAAGACGTTATGAAAATTCCCACCCCCATGGAACTTCAAACTGACTTGGAGTGTCCAAGGTCAAGATGATATCAAAATTCCCAGCCCAATGGAACTTCAAACTGACTTGGATTGTCCACAAGGTTAAGGCGATATCAAAATTCCCACCCCCATGGACCTTTTAGAGTTCACAATAGCAGTTTCACAATGACCCCAGAGTTTCACACTCCGCCTTTAGAGTTGCACAATCCTACTTTATAGTTTCGCAATCCGAATTTCAAGTTTCACAATACAAGTTTCACAATCCGTGCGGCAAGTTTCAAAATCCGACTGGCAAATTTCACAATCCAAGATGCGCAATCCGTCTGGGAATTTGCACAATCCGACCAGGAATTTCACAATCGGACGTTGACCAAAGGTTTTGTCATACACAATTCTTTCGCACACAACCCTTTCACACACACAACTTTCTCTCACGCACAACTCTTTCACGCGCAATTCTTTCACACGCCACTCTTTCACATACAACCTTTTTGAATTATCGATCCTTCACCATCTTCTTTGTTTTTCCTGCCTTCTCCATACCGCTTCAACCCCTGTTTCTGATTATTGGAAGAAGTTGACTTGTGGGGTTATCCGGTCCTTTAATTCTTTTTCACAGAATGCCGCATCACTTCCCAAGGTCATCATTTTATTTTCAGATACAATTTCCATCAATTTCTCAACTTCATGGTGCGTGGCTGTGAATGCTGCCAGAGAGACTTGTCTTGTTACAGAGCTTCACAGCCACACTGGCGTACTTTTTGAGACGCGTTTTTGCCCTCCAAATGACAAGTTCACATTTGTGCAAAATGAGTACATTTGTTCATTTGAATGCCCCGTTTCTGAAGCAAAGAACATGTCTTCTACCTGTTACCCCCTACGGATTTGACATATCCATGAAAAATCAAAATCTTCAAAAAGTAAATCACCTATGAATGTGCAATTTTCCATAGCTATTATGCCAGTAGTACCGCGGAAGGCGATGGCGGAAGTTTCAAAGATAGGAAACTTATAGGAGCGTTTGGATATTGAGAATCATGGAGTGCAGAGCGAACCCACTGATGGACCGAAAGGTGGTCGGAGTTGTGCTTTTTGCAGTGGTTGCAGTAGTCACCTTACCCGCAACTGCTGAATGTAGTGCGGTGTGGTGCAGCGTAGTTGTAGTTGTAGTTGTAGTGGTAGTTGTAGTGTAGTTGAAGTTGTTGTACAGTAGTGTAGTGGTAGTTGTAATGTAGTTGAAGTTGAAGTTGTAGCCGTAGTGTAGTGTAGTGGTAGTTGTAGTTGAAGCCGAAGTTGAAGTTGCAGTTGTAGATGTAGTGTAGTGGTAGTTGTAACTGTAGTTGTAGTTGTACTTGTAGTGTAGTTGACTTTGTAGTTGTAGTTGTAGTGGTCGTTGTAGTGTAGTGTAGCGGTTGTTTTAGTTGTAGATGTAGCTGTAGTGTAGTGTAGTGGTAGTGGTAGTTGTAGCTGCAGTGTCGTTGTAGTAGTTGTTGATGTGTAGTGTAGTGCACAGTTGTAGTTGTAGTTATAGTGGCAGTTGAAACTGAAATTGAAGTTGTTGTGGTTGTAGTTGGGGTGTCATTGTAATTGTCTATCTATCTATCTATCTATCTGTCTATCTGCCTATCACTCTAACTGTCTATCTATCTGTCTGTCTGTCTGTCTATCTATCTATCCGCCTCTCTGTCTACCTATCTATCTGTCTATGTGCAAGCCTGAAAACGAAGCTATTCTGCAAGACTTGCTCAATTTCTGAACTTGACAGCATCAAAAGCGCAGCAATTCTGCGAGACGTCCTCAATTTTTGAACTCGACAATGCCAAAAACAAGGTAACGCCGCCCGTAAAGACGCGGGCTGTTTTGCACTCAGGCATTTCTGATGTGCTTCAGGACATGTGGCACAGCTGTCCAAAGGTATTTGCCATTGTTGTATCTGTACTGCCAGCTGTAGGTCCATTGCCAAAGGCTTTGATTGACATGGCCTGCCTTTGACTTTGTTGCTAAAGTTTTAGGCAGGTAATCTTTCAAAGATCGCCATTGCCTATCCAGCACCTGTGCGCCAGCTTTCACAACGTCCCCTGCACGTGTGCGAACTGTACGAGAGAATTCAAGCAAAGCATGTTTCACATCATGAAATTCAATGCCACCTTCCATGGCCGCCCGCTTCCATGCACGATTGCCATCTGCAAACAAAATGGCATTGTGGCCGCATACTCTTGACAGAAGATCTGCTTCATCGACGTCCAAGCTTCACCCCACCCCCCCCCACTCCAACCCCAGCGTATGTCACGTAACGCTTCCAAGGAACGTTAACATCACCCCCCCCCCCCCACCCCAACCCCAGCGTATGTCACGTAACGCTTCCAAGGAACGTTAACATCACCCCACCCCCCCCCACCCCAACCCCAGCGTATGTCACGTAACGCTTCCAAGGAACGTTAACATCACCCCACCCCCCCACCCAAACAACCCACAAAAAGTATGAACGCAGTAAAAAACGTTAAAAAAACCCGCGTCTCTACGGGCGGCGTTAGCAAAAACAAGGCAAGTCTGCGAGATCTTCAATTTTCAAAGGTGACGGCATCAAAAACGAAGCAAATCTACAAGATTTCCTTCAAGAAAGGAACGTTTAGTGCAGAACTGACGGCCTCGTGCCAATGCGTCTTGCGATTTTTGCATTCTATCTGTCTAAAGTACTGCGCTTGCCACGAAAAATTGATGCCATGTCATACGAAGTGCTGCACCTGTCACGCAAAATCATCTTCGCAAACCTACAGATCGGATGCTTCAAAGTGCAACCCGTCTCAGGAAATCAGCGCCCTGACCTCCTAACATCTCTGATGAACATGTCTCTTGTACTGCGCCTGTCACGCGAAATGCATCTTTGCAGATCCTCTTCAAATGTCCCACGCCTGCCAGCGTTTTTGGAAATGCCACAAAATGCTCACATTTTGCTCACTTTTGATAAGGTGCACAATCCCTTGCGCCTGCCAAGCGAAACGACATCTGAACGTCCAAAAGTGGTCCGAGCATGTGGTGCTTTTAACATTTTGACTTGGAAATGTGCTTCGTGCCACGACGGCGTGCACTTTTTGCGCATCCCAACTTCCAAAAGTGCTCCGAAGCTGGTATGTTTTGGACATTTTGACTTCGAAATCTGCTTCGCGTCACAATAGCGTGCGCTTTTTGAACATCTCAACTTCCAAAAGTGTTCCGACGTTGGTGTGTTTTGACTTGGAAATGTGCTTCGCGCCACAACGGCGTGCACTTTTTGCGCATCTCAACTTCCAAAAGTGCTCCGACGTTGGTGTGTTTTATACATTTTGACTTGCAGATGTGCTTCGCGCCACAGCGGCGTGCAATTTTTCTTCTCTCATCTCGCTAGCTGGCTCCGCGCCCGCCGCTTTAGCGAGCTTACTTTTCGACCCTCCGGAGCCCCAAAACATGGGAAAAACATAGCGTTTCGCGACTTATCTACCTTTTTGCGCACCTGTGTCTTCTTTCTTCTGACTCTTTCTCTTCTCTGATCTTCTTTCTTCTTTCTTCTTCGCTTCGCTTCTCTTCTCTTCTCTTGTCTTCTTCTCTTCTCTGCTCTTCTCTGGCCCTTCCCACCTCTGCTTCTTCCCACCTCTGTTCTTCCCACCTCTGCTTTTCAACTGTCCATATTGTTGGAAGTTTGACTTCTAAACTTCCCTCAGCTAAACTTTTAGAGGTTTTATTAGCTGTTCAAGGAAGTGCGCATCTTTGAAAAAACAAAGCCTAGTTTTTGCCGAGGCAAACAAAAGACACGTTAAAGAAACGCTGCGTGTGACTGCAGTGTTGCGTTTGCTCAAAGTCATTGTTGTAGGTAGTAGTAACATGCACTTTTTGCAGCGCACTTAATGATGAACATGCTGCATTGTCGCGTGCATCCCAAACTGTCTCAAAGAATATCTGGTTGTGGTTTCCCAGCTATATTTTGGTATTTTGGTTTTCCACTGCACCCGTTGTATCTGTCTTTTGACCATTCCACATCAAGGAATACAGCATTTCTGATATTTTACAGCATTTTAAAATGAATAAAATATTGCATCTGTGCATGTTTTGAAGGGCTATGAAAGATTATGTTTCTTTTGGGCAAAACATGGCCGCGGCGTTTTGTTCTGGCGCTTGGCAAATTCTCAACGCAAAAGGCGCAAAGCTCCCGTTGTGTCCCGTTCCGAGGTCTTCTGTGGGTTTCTTCATCGGCAAACAGGGCGAGTACATCAAACGAATACAGGTGGAAGCCTCGGAAGCCACGTAACGAAAATGTAATGAACACGTAACGAACAGATAAACAGAGCCAAAAAAAATCGTCAATCACAATGGAAAAATTATTCATTATTTCCCATTATTTTTTTTTCACAATCTGTGAATCGTTGAAGGCACGCTGTGACATGGAATCCATGGAACCGAAGCATGAAAGGTCTTGGAAGGTGTTGGAAAGTGTTCGAATTGAGAGCAGCACCTCTGGCGACAGCCGACTGGAGGAACACCTTGAAAATCCTGTGTCAAATTTTTCGAATTTCGATCGATGAATCGCTGAATTAATTGAAATTCGTAAAACATCCTAAAAGCCGAAGCAGTTTTGAAGCATTCCCGAAGCATTCCTTCGGTATTTTCTAAGGCCCAAACTGGTGCCACTGTGGCAGGGATCCCTGCCTGTCGTAACTGTCGCAAGTCACTTGTGAGTCGCTTGTGAACTCTGTGAAGCTGGCATTCTGTCACATTCTGTAGCATTCTGTCGCAAGTGTCGTCCCCGCAAGTGGCGTGGAGTGCCGGCTGCGACACGCGACAGAATGAAAAACAGCGAGGTCATAGATCAAGAGACCAAAGAATATGGGTCCAGAGCCAAGCAGAGCCAAGTTCGACACGGCTGTGATGAATAGACACAGGCAATGATAGAATTGATAGTGAATTGATAGGACACAATAGACCCAATGTAATGGATCCAATGCGTTCAATGTGTGCGCAGGAATATGTGGCTTTGAAAACTAGATTGAGTCAGCCAGAATTAGACATAGGTATGTGGATGTCATGAATGCAGCGGTGACAATCCACATTTGTCTGAATGTCACCTGATGTCACATGATATCACCTAACTTGGTGTCTGCGTAACTCACCTGCGCGCCTGTGACATTCCAGGTACAGCATGATACGCATTATGGATGGGTAGAAACCTCAGCCCACAAGAGGTACAAGCTCTTCAGCTCTTCAGCTCAGCAGCTGAAGCAGCTAAAATGGAGAGCGAAGGGGGCGTGATTATGGTGTGATATGTTTGACATCGAGTGGACATCGATTTGATGAACATGGATTCGCATCTGTCAATTGCACTCCGAGCACTGCAAAGTTTTTACGTTTCGATGAACATGTTTTTACGCTTTCCATTTTTGCCAATTTGTCAAATTGTCTTTTCAATTTGGCTTTGATCGGGCTTCAGGCCAGGCTTGAGAGAAGCCTCAGAAATGGTAAAGTACAGGTCGGACCGCTGGGAAGTCCATTATGACAGTTGCTGCTGTTGTCTGTCGGTCAGTCATTTGTGGGTTGGTTGTTTGTTGGTTGAGAACTGATTTTTGTTGTTTATGGGTTGTTTGTTGTTTGTTGTTGTTTGTTTGTTTGTTTGTTTATTTGTCTGTCTGTTTGTTTGTTTGTTTGTTTGTTTATTTGTCTGTCTGTTTGTTTGTTTGTTTGGTTGTTTGTTTGGTTGTTGTTGTTGTTGTTGCTGTTGTTGCTGTTGCTGTTGCTGTTGCTGTTGCTGTTGTTGTTGTTGTTGCTGTTGTTGTTGTTGTTGTTGTTGTTGTTGTTGTTGTTGTTGTTGTTGGTGTTGTTGGTGTTGTTGGTGTTGTTGGTGTTGTTGGTGTTGTTGTTGTTGTTGTTCCGGTGGTGGTTGTGGTGGTTGTTGTGGTGGTTGTTGTGGTGGTTGTGGTGGATGTTATTGTCGTTGTGGTTGTTGTGGTGGTTGTGGTGGTGGTTGTGGTGGTTGTGGTGGTTGTTGTGGTTGTGGTGGTTTTTGTGGTGGTTGTGGTTATGGTGGTTGTTGTTGTGGTTGTGGTGGTTGTGGTGGTTGTTGTGGTTGTTGTGGTTGTCGTGGTTGTCGTGGTTGTTGTGGTGGTTGTTGTGGTGGTTGTTGTGGTTGTGGTGGTTGTGGTGGTTGTTGTGGTTGTTGTGGTTGTTGTGGTTGTCGTGGTTGTTGTGGTGGTTGTTGTGGTGGTTGTTGTGGTTGTGGTGGTTGTGGTGGTTGTTGTGGTTGTTGTGGTTGTGGTGGTTGTGGTGGTTGTGGTGGTTGTGGTGATCATGGTGGTTGTCGTACTGGTTGTGGTGGTTGTTGTACTGGTTGTGGTGGTTGTTGTACTGGTTGCGGTGGTTGTGGTGGTTGTGGTTGTGGTTGTGGTGGTTGTGGTGGTGGTTGTTTTGGTGGTTGTGGTTGTTGTGGTGGTTGTTTTGGTGGTTGTGGTTGGTGTGGTTGTGGTTGTTGTGGTTGTTGTCGTGGTTGTGGTTGTGGTGGTTGTGGTGGTTGTTGTGGTTGTGGTGGTGGTTTTTTTTTGTTGTTTTTTTTTGTTTTTTCGTTGTGGCTGTTGTTGTGGTTTTTGTTTTTAGTTTTCTTGTTTTTTTTTTGTTGTTTTTTTTTGTGGTTTTTTTGTTTTTTTCTTTTTTGTGTTTTTTTTTGTTTGTTGTGGTTTTTTGTGTTTGTTTTTTTTGTTATTTTATTGTTTTTTTTTTTTTTTTTTTGTTTTTGTTTTTTTTTTTTTTTTTTTTTTTTTTTGTTTTTTTTTTGTTTTTTTTTTTTTTTTTGTTTTTTTTTTTTTCTTTTTTTTTTTTCTCAGCAGTGTTTTTGGTTTTGATTTTTGTTCGCTTCGTTTTTTGTTTTGTTGTTTTTTTTTGTTTTTTTTTTATTGTTGTTTTGTTGGCATCTTAGCAAGGGCACTTTTTGCCAATACCATTACGTATTTGTTTTTGGAAGGCATTGCGCAGGTTGTTAGGTTCAGGTCCTCCGTGAATTTCCGTTTGGATGTTTGGATGTTTTGAAACCGAGACGCAGTGAATCTCGACACGTCGTGGAAAAAAATCCCTGAAACAAACAATCTAAGAACTTGCTGCAAACCAAGACATGTATACAGTTTGCAGAGGATGTAGACTTATGTCCGTATTATGTAGACTTAAACTTGTGACATATCTGTGACAGACATGTTGTATTTTTTGTCGAGGCTGGATCAAGTGAAAGAAGCTGCGGTGCAAAGAGCTCCAGCAGGCGCCGGAGACGAACAGAAACAACTCCGCACATTTGCAGATCCTCAGAGCATTCTGTAAATGTGAAATTTTGGGAACAGTCAGAGCACTCTGCATACTCTGCACACTCTGCACACTTGGCACACTCTGCACATTCGGCATTTCTCTTTTTCTTTATTCTCAGAAGCAACAAAATAGATCCTAATGGATCCGAATAGATCCCAATTGTCTATGCCTCGCGTCTGATTGTCTCGTTTTTGATCGTCCGTGGCTCGTTTATTAATGTCGTCGACCCAAATTGCGAAAGTTGTCCAAGGTGCCATCCATTTCTGGCAGACAATAGCTGAGCGGACCTAACATTACACTTACCTAAGGCATCCTAAGGCGTCATCTGATGCGTGACCTTAATATTGGACCAAACATGACTTGGATGACTTGGCGTTGTGTTGGCCTTGAGGTGAATATGAAGAGATATCCATTCCTCAAGGACAAGTGGGTGCCATTATCGGCAAAGGTGGTGAGACTCTTCGGCAGATCAAGGCTGAAAGTGGAGCAGTCATAGTGTTGAGCCAAGAGACGAAAGGCCAAGGCTTCAGCACGGTCCGTTTTGCTGGGAATTTCGCAGAAGTGGCAAAAGCCAAAGAGTTGGTTCATATGAGACTTGCTGAGCGCGAACAGGGCCAACAGGGCCAACAGGGCCATGGCCAGTGCCAGGGTGGCGGCCATGGCCAAAGCTGGTCCGGAAACTGCGGAGGTTCTGGTTGGTATGGCGATGTGAACCCACCTCCACCACCCAGTTCCAAAGGAAATTGGGGAAATGGTAAAGGCTGCGGTGACAATTGGAATGGCTGTGGCAGCTGTGGCAGTTGTGGCAGTTGCGGTGCCTGCTCGGGTTCGCTTGGCGGTTGTGGAGACAATGGGTGTCATGGGTGCGGTCCAGGGACACCTATTAGTGGCGACTATGAGCCAAGTCCAGGTTGCGGTTGCCCTGGTTGCAGTGGCTGCACTGGCTGCAGTGCACAGCTAGGACTTCAACCGCAACCTGTGCAGCAACCTGTGCCCATGCAACAAATGCAACAGATGCAACAGATGCCTATGCAAACGGGGATGCAGGGGATGCAGGGGATGCAACCTATGCAGCCGATGCAACCAATGGCGCAGCAATTTTCGCAACCTATGCAGCAGCCAATGCAACAGCCCCTGCTGCAGCCAATGCAACAGCCGATGCAGCAACCAATGCAACTGCAACAGCCCCAGTTCCAGCAACCTATGCAGTTTCAACCACAGCCGTTCCAACAGCAGCCTCTGCAGCAATCACTTTCGCTTCAAATGCAGCAACCTGCCATGCAGCCCATGCAGCCCATGCAGCCCATGCAGCCGGCGATGCAGCCGGCAATGCAACCGATGCAACCGGCGATGCAACCGGCGATGCAACCCATGCAGGCTCTCCCCACGGGAGCCATGGGCTATCCACCGGGTCCGGGTCTTCCTCCACAAGCTGTGCAAACTCAAGCAGCTCCTCAAGGTCTGCCAGCTCTGCCAGCCCCTTGGTGAGCAGATCGTGTGAGGCGATCGCTGAGTGAAGGCTGTTCCGGGCGAGGAAAATCAGGCCGTCATCGCCCTTTTCGTATCTTCTTCTGTATGTTTTCCTTGCTTGGTTTCAGTTTCAGTTTCAAAGCTTGTTCTTTCGAACAATGTGGAGAGAGAGAGAGAGAGAACAGACAAAAGCAGCTCTTGAAATGCAAGGGTTTGAGGCGTTCGAGGTGTTTGAGGTTTCTTGTTTTCTTCCTGTTATTTTCCAACAGCATCCTGGATCGGCTCCAAATTTGACGACCGAAGGGTCCACTGATTTCGCTGTAGATGGCTCTAGCCATTGTAGTTGAACTATGTTGAACTATGTTGAACTATGTTGAACTATGTTGAACTGTAGTTATATAGACTGTAGTTAGACTGTAGTCGAATCTAGTTAGACTGTGTTATTTCTACACTGTAGTGCTCTGTAGTTACCACATGTTACTACACTGTAGTTGATCATTGTCGAATCATACTCTGTGAACAAAAGAACATGAAAGAACACACTGACGCATGTGATGCATGTGACGCACACCAGGGCACATCCACAAGCAAGCCGCTTATCAGAGCATTTGTCGAGCGTTGGTCGTAAATGTAAATGGGAGTTGGTGTTTGACAGCGAGTCGCACCGGCGAAGTGACAATCCAAAACGGAAAAGCGCTCTTAAGCGAGCGCTCTGACACGATCCGCTCTGAAACCGCTCTGAAACTAGAAATTTCATCCTGTCGGAGCGGTAAATCGTCACTGCTCGAATATGCTTGATAGATTTTGATAGATGTTTGCAATATATATATAGTTATAATATATACAGTTATATATAAATAAATATATATATATATACTATACAGACTATACAGACTATATATCTTGATCTTGACATCCTGCGCTGTTGCCGTCACAAAGTGGCCGTAAGCACCCGTGTAAGCCGTGAGCCATGGGGATGGCTCTTTGGGCGCTACTGCTATGGCAGTGGCACACCGTCAAAGCTCTCAGCCTGAAAATTGAGCAAAGTTGCAGTGAACAAATTGAAAAAATATAGCAAAGTTGCAGTGAGCAAAGTTCGTGTTCAGTTGAGCAATTCAAATCAAAATTTTCCATGTCCTTTGCTCCCTGAGAAAGTCAGGTGGTGTCACAGCCAGTGGAGGTGCAACGGATTTCGGGATTGCGGAAAGCTTGTGCACTGTGCAAAGATTTTCTAATTTGTACATTAGATATGTTTTAAAAGTTTTAACCAAACTTGTTCAAATACTGATTTGGCGTCATTGAGTCACTTTCATTTTTGACCAAGCAGCTTTGACTCAAGGCTCGTCATGCTAAACATCTTGAGCCTTAACAGCGAAGAGTACAGCTCTAACGAACCGCAGGTGCAGTTGGAACAGATCAAGAAGGATGTGTTTTGCTTAGTTTTGCTTGGCCGCCTTTGACATAAAGTGTGAATGCACAGATCAGTGACTGCTTGATCCCACGCGTACACATTCTACACATTCTACACATTCTACACATTCTACACATTCTACACACAAACCTGATCCTGTCCAGGTTGCCCAAAAAATGCTTTCTCAAGATGCCCTTAAGAAGGAATTCTCAGCCATGTTGGAGACTGAGAAGGAAAAGATGAAGGAACAAATCATGGCCAAGGTGGATGAAAAGATCACTGCAAGAGCGAAAGAAGAAGAGAAGTCAAGGGATGCTTTGAGCAAGCAAGTCCAGGAGCCGTCAGATGAACTGCATCAGAATGGCTTAACAAGCTCTTACACTCAAGTGTAAGTAGCAGATGGAAGGCGCTTTTTCGATTTCATCCGAAGAGACACTCATGACTCATAACCGATTAGTGATAAGTTTGATAAATCTTGGCTTGCAGGAGTTGGAAAGTACACTTGCAAAGCAAAAAAAGGAACATGAGGCAGCAGTGACTGCGCTCAAAAGCAGCCTGGCAGAACAAACCGCAGAAATTGCAAAAGCTCTTGATTTGTACCAACGATCTTTGTCACAGCATAGGGACGAAGCAGCAAACAACCTAGAGCTACATAAAAAGGAGTTAGCCGAACACAAAGAAACATCAAGCAAAGGATTGGAGGCTCAGACGAAAGCGTTGGAAAGTCACAAGGCAGAGACAGCCAAGAGCTTTGAGTCCCAACAGCAGGTTCTGGAAAAAGAGAAGAAGGCAACAGCCGAGCAGATTGAGTCGCACAAGAAGGAAGCAAGTGCTGCGCTTGCCAGTGCCAAGGAGACATTGCAGAAATCCTTGGAGGAGCAAAAGATAGAAACTTCGAAGACTTTTGAATCCCACCAGCAGGCACTGTCCAAGCACAAAGAGGAGTCTTCAGCACAACTAGAGGCTCATAAGAAGGAGTTTTCTGAGCACAAGGAGACGACAAGTAAGAGTTTGGAGGCTCAGACGAAAGCGTTGGAAAGTCACAAGGCAGAGACAGCCAAGAGCTTTGAGTCCCAACAGCAGGTTCTGGAAAAAGAGAAGAAGGCAACAGCCGAGCAGATTGAGTCGCACAAGAAGGAAGCAAGTGCTGCGCTTGCCAGTGCCAAGGAGACATTGCAGAAATCCTTGGAGGAGCAAAAGATGGAAACTTCGAAGACTTTTGAATCCCACCAGCAGGCACTGTCCAAGCACAAAGAGGAGTCTTCAGCACAACTAGAGGCTCATAAGAAGGAGTTTTCTGAGCACAAGGAGACGACAAGTAAGAGTTTGGAGGCTCAGACGAAAGCGTTGGAAAGTCACAAGGCAGAGACAGCCAAGAGCTTTGAGTCCCAACAGCAGGTTCTGGAAAAAGAGAAGAAGGCAACAGCCGAGCAGATTGAGTCGCACAAGAAGGAAGCAAGTGCTGCGCTTGCCAGTGCCAAGGAGACATTGCAGAAATCCTTGGAGGAGCAAAAGATGGAAACTTCGAAGACTTTTGAATCCCACCAGCAGGCACTGTCCAAGCACAAAGAGGAGTCTTCAGCACAACTAGAGGCTCATAAGAAGGAGTTTTCTGAGCACAAGGAGACGACAAGTAAGAGTTTGGAGGCTCAGACGAAAGCGTTGGAAAGTCACAAGGCAGAGACAGCCAAGAGCTTTGAGTCCCAACAGCAGGTTCTGGAAAAAGAGAAGAAGGCAACAGCCGAGCAGATTGAGTCGCACAAGAAGGAATCAAGTGCTGCGCTTGCCAGTGCCACGGAGACATTGCAGAAATCCTTGGAGGAGCAAAAGATAGAAACTTCGAAGACTTTTGAATCCCACCAGCAGGCACTGTCCAAGCACAAAGAGGAGTCTTCAGCACAACTAGAGGCTCATAAGAAGGAGTTTTCTGAGCACAAGGAGACGACAAGTAAGAGTTTGGAGGCTCAGACGAAAGCGTTGGAAAGTCACAAGGCAGAGACAGCCAAGAGCTTCGAGTCCCAACAGCAGGTTCTGGAAAAAGAGAAGAAGGCAACAGCCGAGCAGATTGAGTCGCACAAGAAGGAATCAAGTGCTGCGCTTGCCAGTGCCACGGAGACATTGCAGAAATCCTTGGAGGAGCAAAAGATAGAAACTTCGAAGACTTTTGAATCCCACCAGCAGGCACTGTCCAAGCACAAAGAGGAGTCTTCAGCACAACTAGAGGCTCATAAGAAGGAGTTTTCTGAGCACAAGGAGACGACAAGTAAGAGTTTGGAGGCTCAGACGAAAGCGTTGGAAAGTCACAA